TCAGACTTCACCCTAACACTCACTTTCCATTTACCCCACCCCCAACCAAAAGAACATGCAATTGTCCCCAATGCATAAAAATTTAAATACTAGAGTGGTAGGTGAAGCAAACCTGTGGCGCAAAGCGCCGTCGATCAGCAAGGTGGTGGGTCCGGTTCCCCGGAACCCACGTCCTCTGCAATCTGGACACCCTCAGTGGTGTCCTCAGCAACAACCGCACCATCAGTAGTGTCTCCTGCTATCTCCACAGTGCGGGAGCTAGACGCCCCAGCCGCTAACTCTGATGCTCTCATCTGGTGTGCCTCCTCCTCAGCAAGTGAGGCTCTCCTCGTAGCTTCTATCTCTCGGCGCTCCTTCTTCCGTGCTCGCGCCTCGTCCTCTGCTCGACCCCTATGCCTCTTGGCATTCTCTAGAGGGGGAGGTGGTGGAATCTCTGAAGTGGCAAATAGGGCCGCCAACACGGTGTCTTCAGCAGGCTCGACAGAAGGGGCCTCAGACTCCGACACCCTAGCCACTAAGATCGTGTCGATATCTGCACGAAGACTGTCAACTGCCGCCTGAAGAGTCGACACATCCACCCGAGGGGCTGGTCGGGCTAACACCCTCAACTCAAAGGCGTCCAAACGCTGGTGAACCTCAGCGATCTTCCGCTCTGTATACTTGACCATTTTCCTCTATAGGCGCTCTTCTGACTCAGTAATCGACTTCTGCAATGTACAATATAGTAAATAAAAATATTACTATATAATAAACATAAAATTATAAGAATTTTTATGTTACCATTTCATTCCTGGAATAGTTTAAAACTAATATTAATTTTTATTATATAAATATCTACTATTTAAAAAAAATCAACATATAAAAAATTTAAGTAACCAATTAGAAATTTTGATGTAATTTCTTATAAAAATATTTTTAGTAATTAATATTTAAATTTAAATTTGTGGTTTAAAAATTGTTCAATACACAGTTACACACCCACTTCTACACAATCTCTAAATCTATCTAATTATCTATTGAATTTTTATAAAAAAACATTTTAAAAATAAAAATAATATTTCAAGTACAAATAATTGTCCCTATAATTCCTCATCCACTTGTTTAACTTCCTATTCCCAAAAAAATTCAACTGTATCATTCAGTAAACTTAAGAATATAATTTAGTCAGTCTTTTCTTTAGTTTTCTTGTGAAAAAAAAATGTCAATAAAGGTGAGTCAAAATAATAATAATCCTTATTATTCATTCATGGGAAGGTAAGTGTTTGCATAGTTCCAATATTCTTCTTTTGTTTCATGTTTCTACATTATTAATATATAACGGTACTTTATTTTGAAAGTTTTAGATTTTGAAGATGATCGATTTTTTTATAAAAGAAAAATCAAAGAAAGAGATTTTTATAACTGTACTTTATTTTGAAAGTTGTAAATCTTGAAGATATTGAGTTTTTTATAAAAGAAAAATCAAAGAAAATAGAAATCGTTTAATGAAGATGGGATCAAGCAATTTGGTGTTGAATCTATGTAGTTGAAGAAGGAGAAAGTTATAAGCAAATGAGTGATGATCGTATTACAAATCAATATTTTTTTTAGGGATAATGTCCAAGTACCCCCTCAATCTGTGCCCGAAATCTCAGATACCTTAGTATAGTATAAGTGTGTCTCTGAGATTTCGGGCATAGGTTGAGGGGGTACTTGGACATTATCCCTTTTTTTTATTGTATCCAAACTTGAATTCATTTTTTTCATTCTAATATTATTCATTTGATTTTTAATACGAATTGAAAATTTGAATTATAAATTGAAAGTTAATCTACATCGTCATGCAATTTATTTATTTATATAAATCCTTACTAACATTTCTTTAAAAAATTGTTTTTTTCAATTTAACAAACAAATAAAAAAGGATTACATAAAGAATGAAAGAAAAGAAGACATGCAGGTAACAAGTTCATAAGTAACGAAGAATAACAAACTGATTCATATTTCATAACTTGAATTGTACTTTGTTTAAATTTAGAGAGTTTGATTCTGATTCATGTATTGTTTTGATATTGTTCATAATTGATGAGTTGCAATAAAATCTAATAACATACTTTGGACTTTTTAGAATAAAGAAATATCAACCATATTCAAATTACAATGAAGAAAGAAAATTGTTGAGGAAGAAAATTTGAGGTTGGAAAGGCTTACCAGAAATTAGAATTTCCTTTTAATTTATTTTATCATCAAAACTATCCTTTCCATTTCGTGAAAAGTTACACTTCTATAAAAAGTCAGGACTTTAATGAAGAGTTGTGACTCTTATGAAAAGTTTTGACTTTAATGAAGAGTTGCAACTATTATGAAAAATTGTGACTTTAATGAAGAATTGTGACTTTTATGAAAAGTTGTAACTTTTATGAAAGGTTGTGAGATTTCCAAAAGGTTGCAACTTTTCCAAATAGTTAAAACCTTTCTGATGAAGCACAACACTACCCTTTGTTGTCTATAAATAGAGGGATTTTCTTTCATTATAAAACTACGAAAATTCTACACCTCTTAGTATTTCTTCTCCTTCTCCTCCTCCTCATTCCCAATTAAATGTTTGTGTACGTATTTCTTCTCCTTCTCCTCCTCCTCCTCCTCATTCACAATTAAATATTTGTGTACTTTGCTCATGTGAATGACTCTCTAAGACCATTGCTTATGTTAAAAATCCTGATATATCTTTTAACAATCATTAATTTATGCTTATGTTACAAGGATAATGGTAAGATGTATAATTTTTATTTTCCCTTACATCATTAATGTTTGTTATTAAGTAATCTTGCATGTAAGATAATAGAGTGTTTTAGTGATAATACCGAATATACTTTAAGTAATACTTTATAATTTTTGTAATATTTAATTCCCGCGCTTTACTAGTTTATATTATAATATAGAAAAATATTTTCAAATTTTGTAAATGTATAGGTACTCATTTTCTTTTTTTCTCGCTCTAATAAAAAAATTGTTTTATTTTCATACAAATATTTTTGATAATGCGTTAAAATTATTATTTTTAAAATAATATTTTTTACAATAAAAAGTTAAAAGGAAAAGCATAATATTATTATTTATTAAAAGAGAAAGAACGGAAAACTGTAAATAATGGGAACATTTTTCATTCATCCAAAGAGTAATACATAATTAGATCAATTAATAAATAGTTATAATTTAATATTCACAATTTTTTATTATAAAAAATCAATATTAATAATAGTTTTATTGATTTCAAATGAAATTTAAGATATGTGTGTTGTGTAAGGAGATTTTATTATAAAGATGTTAAATTTTATTTGTTCATCTTACAAATTTTCTCAAGAATATATTTAAGTTATTTACATTTTTAATATGCACGACTCTATTTTGTGGGTAATTATCATTTTTTAATATAAAATATTTAAACTAACTTTTTAGAGTTAATTATCATTCTTTATAAATTGTTAAATAATAATAATAATAAATAACAGTAAATAATAATAATATTAATCTATATTATAGGAAATGTGAGTTTTTAGAAAATTTTATGTTCTTTATAGTATTTATATAAATTCAAAGATAAAAATTCAAATTTGGACATCAACCAATTGTCATACTTATTTTTTTAGTATAGTTTTATATTGCAACTATAAAAATATATAAAACAAATTGAAAGATAAAAGTTTATTCAAATTAGTATACAATTAAAAATAAATTTTACTAAATACAATTAATTTTTAAAACTTTGAATTTGAGTGGGAGGTCAGCAATGATCTTTCAAAATTTGAATCAAAACTAAATCTATACTAGATAAAACCAAATTTCAATCCATTTTTTCCTATATAAGCTAATTTTACATCAAAATATTTGTTTTATTTTCTACATATAAATATATTTATTAAAATTTGAAATATAAAGTTTATTATAAACACTGAATTTTTTCAATTTTGAATTTGAACGAAAATTGCCATTGATTTTTTAAAAATTTGAATTGAAAACTTTCTATACTAGATAAAATCAAATTTCAATTTCTTTTCTTTCCTATATAAACTAATTTACCATCAAGTATTTTTATTTTACTCTCTAAATAAAAAAAATTAAAAGAGAAATTTATTAAAATTAACTTACAGATAAAGAAAAAATTTATTGATTTTTTGAATTTTGAATTTAAATAGGAAGTTATTATTGATTTTTTAAAATTTGAATCGTAAATTTAAGGGAAAATTTCATATATGGCAAACTTATTAGATTAAATAACATTATATGAGTTTAGTTTACCTAATTACATTATATGGGTATAGTTAAGTTATTAAAGGTGTCTTTAATTTTGTATATAATTTTTTTTTATTATTTATACAATTCTATTTTAAAAAAGTTGTTTGTAACTGAATCCTTAAATATGGTAACAATAAATCAAGATAATGCCACGTATTTAGGGAAACGTCCCAATTTTCAAACCAAGCGTTCAAATTCAAAAAAAAAAATCATACGGCCATTGAAACAAAAAAATAATAATTTTTTTTTCTCTTTGTGAAACTGAAGTTCAGCAATTTTGGCAATCGAATACAGGTTAGTTTTTATTCGATGAAATTTCATGTTTATTGATTTTAGAATTTGTGAAGTGTTTTCGATTGTTTGGTTTTTTTAAAAAAAAAATTCAAAATATGATTTTGTTAAGCTGAATTTGTGTTCATTCGTTAGTGTGAGTGGTTTTTATTTTTTTTAAAAAAATACAAAATATGATTTTGTTAAGATGAAAATTTGCAATATACAATTATATACTGTTCATGTAATTGTATATGTGATTCGCGGTATTTGTATATTTTGAAAGCGTCATTATTAATATCAGTGTTCATAATTGTATAAATTCATAAATCATGTGTTTTTTTTATATAATTATATATTATTGTAGATGTAGTTTTTGTATATTAAAAAGAATAATAATATAAAAATTCTATGTCATACAATTTATTTTTGGAAGAAGTATACGCTATTGTAGATGTAGTGTTTGTATATTAAAAATTCTAACAGTATAAAATTTCAATAATTTGATTGTATAAAAATTGTTGTATTAATTGTATATATGATCTCATTGAATTATTTGAAATATATATAAATATTCCTTTTCATAAATGTACAGATAATGGGCTCATTAGATATTTTGGTTATGCATTCTGGAAAATGGGACGATACAAATTGTTACGTTGATTATACTATAGAGGGAGTAGTTTTTAAGGAACAATCAACGTTTCTTGATTTTTATACTACTATTGCAAAACAGATTGGTGTTGATTTGAATAATAAGACTTTGAAGATTGAGTACAAGGTTGAAGAAAGCAATAAACGAATGGTTATACACAATGACATGGGTGTCAGGGTGTACGTAATGCTAAAAAAGGCGAACATTGATTTTAACAAATTTCCTATTTGTATAACTTTTTTGGATTCATGTGATAGACAGATTTCTCAGTGTAAAGAGATGGGGGTGTTGGCAACTGTTGCAGAAAATGATTGTCATGATATGATTGTTGTTGAACCGGAGGATATAAATGTTGCATGTTTATCGATTGATACAACTTGGGTGATTTCAGACGAATCTAATAAGCATGTTGAGGTTGATCAAGTATACAAGGACAAATCAATTTTGAAAGCAGTCATGGAAAGATATGCGATTAAAGAGAGATTTCAGTATAAAACTACTCGGTCAAATTCAATAAGGTAGTGTGCCTCTCAAATATTGACTTTTAAACTGTATAAATGTTTTTATTGCCTATTGTAAACTAAATTTGTATACTATATTAAAAATTATATGCAGTTACACTCTGGAATGTTTTTCTAAAGGATGTGAATGGTTAATGAAGGCCTCTAATATCAACAAATCTGGAATGTTCAGAATTCGAGCATTCAACCGAAAGCATACATGTCCTTTAAACGATAGAGTTTATTCGCAAAGACATGTAACTAGCAATTTAATAGGAGGGATTATGAAACCTAAATTTGTAGATCATAAACGTAAATATACACCAGCTGATCTAAGAAAGGATGTTAAGATTGATCTAGGAGTTGATGTTAACTATATGAAGGCTTGGAGGGCCAGGGAGAAAGCATTAAAAGCTTTGAGGGGTACACCAGCTGCATCATATGCAAAGTTACCTGCGTATTTGTATATGATGGATATCACTTACCCGGGGTCTCATATACGTATGAAAAAGAGTACGAATAATGAGTTCTTGTATCTATTTGTTGCATTGAATACATTTATTCAAGGATTCAATCATTGTAGACCAGTAGTCGTGGTGGATGGTAGTCATCTGAGAGGTCCATATAATGGTACATTTGTTGCAGCAAGCACGACAGATAGCGCAGGTGTATATATATATATATATATATATATATATATAATAATCTATATGTATAAACGTGAATCTGTTGTATATGTACATTTAATATATGATTTTGATATTATTGTAGGACATATATTTCCACTTGCGTATGGTATTATCGATTCAGAAAATGATGCTGCGTGGACTTGGTTTTTTGAGCAACTTAAAGAAGCATACGGTGAGAGGAGTAACATGTGTGTTGTGTCTGATAGAAATGAGAGCATTATAAAGGCTATTACAAATGTATACAGTAATGTCCCACACTATGCTTGTATGTGGCATTTATGGAATAACGTTCAGAAAAAGTTTAGAAAATCTCATGAGAAGTTATCTGGTGTATTCTATACAATGGCAAAAGCTTGCACAAAGAATGAATTTGATATGTTAATGGAGACTGTAGAAAAAGAAGATATAAGAGTGAAAGAGTATTTGGATAAAGCTGGATATGAAAAATGGGCTCTTTGTTATGCACAAGTACATAGAGGATGACACATGACATCAAATATTGCTGAGAGTATAAATGCAGCACTTGTTTCAGCAAGAGAATTGCCTATTTTTGAATTTCTCGAAGAGGTAAGGCTATTATTTGGAAGGTGGAATCATGACTACAAGAAGGAGGCAACCTGCACATTCACATCATTGATTGGAAAATACCATGATATACTAACAGACAATGAAGCATTGAGCACAAGAATGACGGTAATATTTAATAATAAGTATATATTTAGGAGTGTTGACAAAATTTATTTGCATATATTAGTATGAACATCATTTCATTTAATTGTATTTATAAATGAGCAGGTTGTACCGTCAACGGAATATGTGCACAATGTTAATGATGATGGGAGATATTTTGTTGTCTGTCTAAAAGCAAAAAAACTTGCACCTGTGGAAGATTTCAGTACGAGGAAATACCTTGTGAACATGCTTGGGCGGTATTGAAATGGAAGAGTCTACCACCAGATGAATATTGCTCGAATTTATACAAACCAAAGACAATGTTGAAGACATATAATATGCCTATACATCCTTTACCGGATGTAAAGGCATGGTTGATTCCGAATAGCGTTATTGCTGATGACGTATTACCTCCAAAATTTAAAAGACCTCCTGGCAGGCCAAAGGGTAAGCCTCGGAAAAAAACAGCAAGAGAGTTATCGAGGATTAAGGGGAAAAATACATGTAGCACATGTGGAATGGCAGGTCATAATAGGCGTTCATGTAGAAATAAGCCAAAAGATATTTAAGGCTGATTGTTTTTTCCTAATTAAATTTGATTTGAAACTATATGCATTATGACTTAATTGAAATCTTTGTTTTTGTATACTTATATTACTTAAACTACGTCTTAATTTTGTTATGTGTTGTACATTAATGTGTGTGTTGTATGACTTACAAAAGTAAATATCTACTCAATATGCGTAAATTAAATTTGTATATATACACGCAACATGATAAAATGTTCAACACTAAACAAGTAGATCGTATAAAAATAAAACTCTTTTATCCTATATACAAATAAAACCTGAACTACGTATTGAATATGCATATATAATTAATAAAAACAATGAGTAAGTGCTATTATATACTATATACAAATAAAAACCTGAACAACATATATCTTTTGCAATTTGTACATGTATATTTATTCCATAAGATAGAATTTGTATATATATAGCAATCTAATTGTATGTGCATATACATTTAATAACATACATTGAATACGTGATAGTATATACTATATACAAATAAAAAATTGAACAACATATATATATGTATTTATTTATGTGAATATAACAGTTAAGAATATACTATATACAAATAAAAACCTGAACACTAATATATAGTATATACCTTATACAATGAAATGAGTGTGACTATAAAATATATACAAATAAAAACCTGACAGTATATCTTTTGTTGTACAGATTCGTAAATGTAAGACTCTTAGTTTTAAAAGTAGTTTTTATACCATTAAATTGTATATGTATATATGTATTTATATGCTACTTTATACTAAATAACACAAAAAGATAGTGTCATATATTTTTATAACACTAAAAGGATAGTTCAAAACAAAGAAAATAATATTACGAGTTAACTAAAACAAAAATTATCGTAAAATTGTTAATCTCCAACTAATTTCTAAAACTGTCAATGCAAAAATCAAAACAATGCTACGACTAAGGTATCAACCTACTGGATTGTAATCCTTTCAGAACTGTTGTTTTGTGTGCGATTCCTAACGGGTTTTAAAGGCGCTTCAATATCACTGGCAGCTCCAGCTTGTATCTTTTGATTGCCGTAATTCCACAACAATGCACCGTATCTAAGGCGAATTTCTTCTGGGTCTAAGACTGCTGGAATGTCTTTCCTCTCACTCAAGAACTCCGCGTATGACGCAACATACACTCCACAGTCCCTAAAAAAATTATATAAAAAAACAGCTCAACTGTTACTATACTACTTAAAGTGTAACTATGTTCAATAAAATATAAATTTATTGAATTTTATAACTTACAAACTAGCAGTTGGTTGTTGGGGAAGGTCTTCCACATATACAATTTCGAATGAATCATATACGGTATGACCTTGATATCGATGGTGGCTTGCAATATCCAGACCTTTCTTTTGATAGAAATGAGACTTTACAAGATACATTGGTATAAGCTGTGCATACTTCTTGATGTGATTGACAACAAATGAGTGGTGAAGAGAATTGTTGATTGAGTCATACACCTTGATGCATCGATCATTGAAAGATATGACAATCAGAATCCAATGTAACCTGCCTTCTAAGTTAACCGGGATGAATACATCATCGACTGTGTGCCATGGTGCATACGCTAGCATCTTGTATCCATTAATATAATCAATAATCATCTCGTCTAACACTTCCTTAGAAAGGTCACCTTTTATTCCATAATATGCATTCCAAGCATTTAGAAAAAAATAGTGTTGAAATTGCAACATAGATTTGTGAATTTGTATGTGCTACTGTTGGAGTATTTGGCCTTTTTCCTTATATAGTAGAATAAGACATCTATGTGCTGTGATATAAAGAGTAATAATGTTATAATTTATACATTATACAATTTCATTTAATTTAAACATTTTTAATAATATAAAAACAGAAACATACCGAGTTATCAATCAACTGGCGCTCAAACCCGATATTGTAGAACCAATTCTTGTTGTCAATTGTCGCTACACCAAAATTAAACAATTGTGGTAATATTGCCTTTCCTTTCTTGTAGCGATCCTCCGCATAGTTTCTATTAAACATAATACAAAATAACTACACAAAATAAACAATAAAAAATGCAAGTGTATAAAAAAAATGTTACTTTTTGTAATGCTTGACGAGTAAGTCTTCTTTCAGCCATATCCAAAAATTTGAAAACAAATCAGACTCTTCCTTAGTAGACAATGAAACAAATGGATGTTTCATGTAAAACACAACTGGCTGTCGGGATGAACTACCTGAAAAGATATGTATAAAATATTTACATCATGAAAACAATATGCTTATTTATGAAAATGTAAACATAAATAATTGTTGCTTACCAGAATCCGAACCAAACAAAGTCATGTACGGAGATATGTTGAATGGACCTGGGCGTCTATGCCTAACAACTGGCATGGGTGTTACTTCAGCTTCAACTTGTTTTTGTAATACAATATTTTGCAGTGTGTTCACGCTTGGAAGAAGATGTTCTGGCAATTCAACCTGTGATTCAGTTACAACTGTTTCCTGATTTGAATCAGGCATGTATACCATTTGTATAGGCGCTGCAACTAAAATAGACTCCTCTGCTTCTGCAATTCGCTCGTGAGATGCAGCATTGTATATGTTATATATTACCCGACTGTTTGAGCTACTTTCAGTTTCCCTTTGGACATTTTGCTGGGCATCCACATCAACATACAACACTAATTGATCTTGTGAGGCAGTGCCACTTACATCATTCAAATTATCACCCAAAACAACATGATCCAACAGTGGGGAATTCTGGTTTAGTTCTTGCAAGTTATCTCCCAGCTTAAAAAGAAAATAATAACTTAAATATCTAACAAATTGATTATAAACCATTATATTAAATTTTAAAATGTATATAATCATTTACGTATACCTCACGATCTTTTAATGCACTATGATGACCTATCGGCTTTTTTTGTGCACCTAACTGTGAAGACTTGGTATTTAACTGATGAACACGAGTGATATGCGTTTCTTGCATGACATCTTCAAATGTAGCCTGATTATAATTTAAACAATATAAGAAAATATGTTGTAGTATATTCAATATAAAAATAAGTAATATGCTTGTGTATAATTTGAGCTATACTAGTATATAGGTCTTAATTATTTAATTTCAATATCTCTATAAACTGAATTTACTTATATACAATTTATTTCATTTCAAAATGTGTATAAACTGAATTAATGTATAAATAAAGCAAAATAATACCTCTTGTTCTGTCACATTTGCAGCTTGACTTTGGGGTTCATGTGGAGTGTATGTGGGCTTGTGATGAACATCTCCGATGGGTAATTCTTGATCATCATCAACGACATTACCCTGGAAAAAAAATATATACTTGTATTCATAAGTATAAAGTATATTGTATATAAATAATTAAAACAAAAAATTTATACATGTGATCCCTTGGAATTCATGGCTTCCAACACTATTTTGAATTTGTCTTCAAGCATTTTTCTCAAATCAGCGAACTCGTCCTTGACCTATGTGAAAAAGGTGCATATTTTATTAATAACTGTATATAATATTTTCAAATAACATATATTTGAATTGTATATTTGATTACCGATTTTTTGAATGCTTCAAATTCATCACGCGATATTGTAATGCTTGTTGACTTCTTAATTTGCCCCATTTGTGTTCTGTCTTGTACACTTTTCTGCTCTACATTTTCATTGTTGTGTGACGTACCTGCAGCACTGTGTTTCGCAACACTGTTGATATTGATGGACTGTAATCGTGTGGCTTTGCGCGCCATTGATCTTCGTGTGTATGTCTTAACTGCCTTTGTTGAAGAGATGACTGTAACAGATTGCTTTTTCTTTTTCCTAATCGGTGAAGAACATTCAATAACTTTTTCTTTTCCTTTTATGCTTGTTATACTGGGCGGGTTTTGGAAATCATCATCCGGATCTGTAACTTTATTGTGATCAGTCTGCAGGCCCTGAGACATTGATTGTTCTGTCGATTGTGGAAGTTTGAGGATTTTAATTTCCATCGCTGTTGGCTCAATATTTCTGAACTTAATCTGCATAATAATTAAAAATTATAATTCAATATAATAAAAATGTAATATAAAACTTGTAGAAAGTAAATGTATACTAACTTCTATAATTTACAAATTGTATTAAGTAAATGCATACCGGATTATCTGCATCATTAAAAATTGTTTTCATGAAATAATCAAACCGAGGATGGTCGTTCTTAGTCACCCAATTGATAATC